AACCTCTTTATTGTTTTTGTATTTGTTGATTTTCTTCATTTCTAAACGGGGGAGTTTAAAATGAAAGAGCAGTTGAAAATTTCAAGAGTCGATCATTAATAATTGTTAATACAACAAAAATTGAACAGAACACCATAAGTAAATTACCTAACTGCAATGAATTTAATAAAATGACATCGAATGATTTTATATCACAATTTTGGAACTGGTTGGCTGCATTTGTAGGTTTGGTTGCATTCCTACTTATTGTAACAGTCAATAAATGGAATAATGAACGGCAATAATTGTTTAAATAATACATATCAGTTTAAGAAATTATTACGTCTTAAAATGAATATTACGGATATATTTTATGGACACAATTTATGAAAGTTCATATACTAGAAATCACACAACAAAATAGAATTGTAACGAAAAATACTATGCAATAATGTTTTTTTTTTAAGGATGCTAAATTTGCTTGATACATGATTTTCTTAAAAATTATGCATTTTTTACGAACGCTTGTAGGGTTTCATATACTTAGATACCTACAAAGAACTAAGGCAAACTGTTTATCGAAGGTAGGAATCGCACAAAAACAGCGATTTTGACTGTAACACAATTTCGTTTAAAGTAATAATCTCTGACAAAGTGGAAATACACTTCATGTAGGTATGACAACAGTAATTTCAAGATTGCACAATTATTTACTTAATTACCTAATGCTACTCATCAGTTGCGGTTGATCGATAGCATCATTTACGATTATTATCGTATCAGCGTTAATACAACTTACAGTCTCATCAGAGGTACGAAATTTAATTTCGTATAATTTAACTTTGATATTCGCATTAAAGTAGGACCAAATTTAATTTGAAATACTACTGTTGTTAAATATTTATTATGATTATTTCATGAAAGAAAAACTTTGTTGCCACAGAAAGTAAAGTTTATCAAAATATGAACGTACAGGTACTTGTGAAGCTAATCATATGTCCAGCTAAAAAATGTTTCATAAATTGATAAAAGCATGTCGGTAGAACAAATAGAAAAACGAAGTTGCTATTGTATTCAGTTCCATGCATGCATATTGGAAGTTCTATTTAGCTTCTACGTAATCCTTTTGGGTTTAGAGTATTCCGTTTACCATGACAGCAAATGTTGTATTTGACAAATAATTGCATGTGGACATGCCCATGTCAATGGACTCTATCGACGGAATTAGCGTTTGATCAGCAACAAGCTGTTGTTGATACTGTTAGTAAATAGAATCTCTGCATGATGAAGTTGCTCATCAGTGTAATTGATGTAAATTATGAAGTAAATTTGTCACAAGGAACTGAACCTCTTTATTGTTTTTGTATTTGTTGATTTTCTTCATTTCTAAACGGGGGAGTTTATAAATTTCATGGATCCTTTTACAAATTATAGATTTACTTTTGTTAAACAATCTTGATAAAATTTGTCGGAAGGTTCGTTTTACATGATGAATAATTATTTGAATTCAATATTTCGAACATTCTGTCAAGGATACGGGTATTTTTGTGTTGACGTCAACATATCAGAGAATCTCCATATGTATATATGTAAAAACAAAAATCAAATTAAGATCAAAACGCGGACGTTTACATGGTTGCAAGGTTTTATGAAATGTATTAAGGGTTAAAACTTTATTCATATGTTGTTCTTTTGTTCTTAATAAGTACAGAGGCAGACAGGAATTTCCCGAGGCTGTCCAATGTCATTTTTGTAATTATACGAAAATTAGTTCCATGCACTGGGCGGAAAATGAAATATCTGTTGGTGTGTCAGTAGAAAACGGTAATTTTATGGAAAATTGCTTGAAGCCGTTGGTTAAAATACGAATATGAGCGTGAAACCACTGTACCAATGATGGTTGGTCTGTTCTGAACGTACACATAAGTGAAACTGGGAAAATTAGCTGTGCAATTACGCAAATATTAAGTGCTACGCTGTCACGTTGGCACAACTGCAAACGCTTTAATGATTTACTGTCGTCGTAATTTTGACGTATTTTGTATTTTGCTGATTTTCAGAAAACGTTTTTCATTTGTTTAATTTAAAAACATATCTATACTAAATTTGATAAAATAATTCTCTCATTTTTTTAACACACCGAGAGGGGACGGTTAATGATTGTTTATTTATATTTATAATTTCTTATTTTTATTCATTCCAATAAACATTGATTGAACGAAAAAGTATACTTAAAGGGAAGAGGTGCATTTTTCTTAGCAAAATGGCTTATCTCGAACAGTTATCTTTATATTATTTTGTCGACGTTATTGCCAGATTCGATTTGTTTTCCTTATCATTTTGTTATTATCTACTTTGACGTTACGATTTTTCGCGGAATTACTTGTTTTGTTTCGTATAAGAATTGAATTTATTTTGTAATATTACTAGTGACGTGATCATTGGTTCAAAAAGGGAGAAAACATCTTGTAAGAGCAAAATATGACGATTTCACCCAATTTTCCAGTTTTCCATTTTCACCCTTACTGTTTTTTCATATTATGTCACAATGGATTATGTTGAAAATATGTAACACTTCGTAAAAACAGATAAAAATAACAGATTTGGTATTTTTTTTTTCTAGCGAACATAATTTATTTGAGTAACGTTGACAGAAATTTCACAATTACAGCAATTAGATGTCTAGTTTAATTTCTTTTTTACTCCATGTATAATTAATTAGAATTTAAATAATATTCTTTTTATTTGTTATGTTTATTATGAGTTTTCAGTGATTTGATTTTCTAAAAATCTCAAGTACCTTTTTACTAATTCCTTGGTAGCATATTTCTTCTATATTTAGCTAAAAGTTACAAGGTTTCACCTTTCGTCCTATTATAATTACTTCGACAAGTCAAGAATAGGTAGCTAATTTATGATACTTTTTTGTAAGTTAAATAATAAAACATCAAAATTACTCTACAGTAACTCTTCATCGTTTATTCAATTGGAAGTTTGAGAAATTTCATTATGAGAATTGATTATACCAATTATTAAAGGAAGAATATAATTTACATAAGGATTATTGGGATTAAAATTTTCCTCAATAAGTTTTTTCAAGATGCGCGTGTCATTTTAGTTACAAAGACTTTTTAACGATGAACGCTTCGGCAAAGCTTATCCTTTACCTTCAGGACAGGAATGTTCAGGGATTTAGAAACTTTTAGGGGAAATTCGGATTTTATTTTTAATCTGTAAAATTTGACGGAAATGTTGGTTGCGTTTTGATTATCCGGAATCAAAGCTTTACGTTCGATTTTCTTGCTAAGCTTCTTCGTTAGGATTTAAGAAGCAGATGTTTTCCTTCAATATAAAAACAGTAAGTAGGGCTGATGTTGCTACGATAAAGCTTTTCCGACTATTTAAATGCACTTATTAGTCAATTATTTTAAGATTTGTAATCAATGTTTCATTTATTTTATTATAGCAATGAGAATATTTTAAATCTTATAATTAATGTTTTTTAATTTCCATATAAATAACTGACGCAGAATATGAATACAAATAAAAATAAAATGACGACATTACACATGCAATGTGTCCATCAGGATGATTTATATACGTACGTAAAAATGGTAGAACGAATAAAGGGATGCGATTTCTCGTCGTTCCTTTGCTTCATTTGGATTCTTTCAAGCTTTTAATATCCATTTTACCTGAATTAGAATCATAAAGAGAAACCTTTTTTGGTTATTTTCCATTATGGAATAGTAAATATTTTATCTTTTAACTGTAGGTATTTATCATTTTTTATATATTTTGAGAATCTCGTCTTTATGATTTTGTTTGTAATAGAGAAAATCAATTTTATCATTATATCATTTTGGAAAGTATTTTTCACTAAAACCTTGTTAGGTTGATATGTTGTATATTCAACAAGTAGTCGCCTACATTTATCTTTTATTAGGTTCTTCTTCATAATTTATTAGGAAGCTAAATTGCGCATGGAAAACGTAAACTTACTTTTATTTGAAATAGCACTTGTTCGTGCTGCCGGAAAACTTTTCTATCCTGTTAAAGCCCAGGTACCTAAAGAGCACGCTATTGAAAAATTATACATGATATAAGTAGGTACTTAAGCGTGGAGTGTATGTAGGAGGTAGCAAATGTTGTTTTCTGCATATTTTTTCCAATTAATTTAAAACGGAAAGGCAAAATTCATGTTTAATTCACAAATTTATTTATTAATACATAAATAAGGGTTTGCAGTTATTTTTTAAACTTTTCTATTTTTGCGTAAGTTTACAACTGCACCAAATATGCATCTTACTATTAGCATGTACATATAAATAATTATATACGCTTTTCAATTTTCATCGTCAACATTTCCACGATTTATCCATTTTTATTTTCGCCCATAGTTTACTGCCTTTTTTATTTAAAACGACAAAAACAAAAATATTGTTATGCATGTAAAGAATGTGAAATTAGGGTTATACAGTGTGGAAATGAAAAACTAGAAGTACCTACACAATCTATGAAATGAGATAAAGGAGAATGGATAATCCGGAAGAACTGTGTTAAGTCCTTTTTAACGAAAAGAAGGCACTTCTGTTCTCGCGATTGGTTGATTTAGAAATTCGACAAAGATTAGGATGGGTAGTAAGCGTGGATGGTAGAAAGAAAAAAGTTAGAATTGTTGGAAATGTGTAGTGTTGGAACGAATTAGAAAGATGGGGTGAATAAGGAACGCTTTGTCTAGAATTATTGCAGCTAACAATAATGCAACTGATAACTAAATATGTCGCTATATTTGTCTCCATAAAACAATTTCTTAAGTACACGACGTTGAGAAAATTTCCGCTAATCTTTTGTAACAAGCAAAAATCACAATTACAACTTTAGTAGAAATGATACTTTACCAGTTGTTTCGACTTTAATAAACTGTTTTATTGAAATGTTTTTGTTAGTTTATTGAAGATAAAGAGAATAAGTGTAGACTCATATCTTGTTTACTTATTTGTATGTATCAAGGGACATTCCATCGTTTACATCTGCACCAATTACATTGAAATATTTAGCTTCAAATCCTTATGAAGTTTCATCGGTGTTATAAGTATAAGTAAAATACGTTATCATTTTTAATATCATTATTATCGTAGGTTGTAATTCAACAGCGGATCACTATGACTGTAGGAATCCTCTGATTAATTAAAACTTTGGTCTGAAAAACAACCGATTAATTCATGAATTTGATGGCATTTTGGGCGTTCAACGAAATCAGTGAATTTTTACTTCTATTACCTGTAGGTATGTGCATTCTGTAGAATTATCGCATTTTGATACAAAATTTAACGTTTCTTATTAATTTTAAACAGTTAATACACGTATTACTTTACTATTAATGTAACTGCTTTGAATATGTATTGTTTTCTAATGCTACTAGGTCCTCCACGAATAGTTAGGTTCTATCCTCAATAATTTCTATTCCGTTAAGATTTTCCATTAATTTTCTTGGCACGTGCTTCACATTTACGTCTGGTTGTTACGAAATAGCAACTGACAATAAGTGTTATTAGGGAATACATAAGCACCACGAATCACGGGAAACTATTTCGTCTTTAACCCTGCATAGATAATTGCTTTTACTAAACTAAAAGTCTTCATAACTTCTTGTTAGTAATGCGGAACATATAACATATAAATTCTTCAATTATTTTATTGAGAGTTCAGAATGCAATGAAGATTAATTAAACCTGATTTAATTAAATGTATATTTTTAGCACACCTATTGCATTGACCTGGAATACCCATCCCTATGTGTAGTTATCTAGTCAAGTATTCACTCAATAAGGGTTTAAAGTTCATTTTCTCCATATTAAATTTTAAGTATATTCATAACAAATTTGTTTTAAAGCAAAAATTTCCCGAACAGAATGTTTATGAAAATTACTGATCATATTGTAGAAAAATAAAAACTAGCACACCTACATCACAAAATCGATTCACATTAAAATTTATTGCTTATTTAGTGTTAATTTACTGCACTACTAAGAATTTCAGTGCTCCATTTCTTATACGAAAATTAGTGGTTTTCTGGTTGCCTCCAAACTGTTTTTCAGTGCATATGTTACAGGAAATGTATTAAATCTAGGAATTGTATACAATTCCTAGGAAATGTATACAATTGCGAGACAAGGTATTTAGAAAATCTATAAAATATTGTTTCAAAGATTTTTTGATACACACATATCCTGGGAAATTGTTTGAAATTCCGGTAAAATAAAAAAAACACGTTAGTAAAACTATAATCAGAGTTATCTGTGTTTACGCGATTCTAGTGCAATCACCTGATAGGATGACGCAGTACCCTCCCTTCGCTCCGGTATCACCCCGTACTCATTTATCTTTATCTACATCTTTCCGATTGCTATTTAGGAAATGTATCTAATATAATTTATTTCATACATTTCGGGACGATTTTAGGAATTATATACTTTTCCTAGGAATTGTATACAATGACGGATTACACACATTTCCTTTAACATATACGTTATACACGCAAGAACCATATTCCACTTTTGTACTTTTTGGCACAAGAGTGAGACGAAAAAATTACAGTGACTTTAGAGTTGTAATATATTCAAACTTATTAATTTATTTTATGCATTTTTCCAGTCTAGATGTAACAGAGTATAATTTTTCAGTATATCGGATGTCGGTAGTAGTTCTTCCAAAAGCACATAGTTATAGCGTGGGGACTTTTGAAAACTAATTTACTTACTAGGAAATTTTAGCATGTATGAGCTGCCTTAGAGTTCACTTAGAATCACCATTGGTTTTCAAGAGAAAAGCTGTAAATTCTCATGTGAATTGTTTTGAGATTTGTGGTTTTGGTGTACTAGCGCGACAGAAATCATTGTACATAGGTACACATGATACAAACATTATTTCAAATGTTATGGGTTTTGTTTGGCACACAACACGACTATTTCCACAATTCTTGAATTTAGTATTTTTGGGTTTAGTAGCTGCAGACATATACGTGGTACAGGGGTATGTTATAAAGTCTCACTGACGATGAGTCTCAAAAGTAGTTAGTGGGTCAATAAATAATATGTTTCAATCACTGTTATTTTCACTTTTATTTTCGATAATCAAAGATTCCAAATAGTCGGTCAAAATTTTAACTATTTTACACATGAATTAGTGTAATCTTTATAAGGAGTTCGTAACTATGTATGAAATTAATGTTTTCTTACTAGGCGTAATTTTCAAGTAATTACCAATTATGTAATCTCTAGCCTTCTAAATTAAAAAATTAATAAGGATAGTTATAAAGGGATACGATAATCAATCACATTTTCCACTTGACTAACCATAATGCAACCAATTGGCGTGGGCCATCACAGTTCGACTTAACATTTAATATGTAATAATGTACGTCCAAGCGTCATTCTGTGTGAGTGTGGGTTAATATGCTGGCATCCGGTTCCGAATATCACAAAAAGGAATTATTGATGACTTAATTACCGACATCAATTTCGTGACACAGACACTGCCCCTACAACTATTTTTTTTACATAACTACATAAAACAAGAGATTGCAAATCAAGAATCAACGAGTTGAATAAAGCGCCATATCAATTCAATTTATTAATTGTTTATAATTTTAAGTTTGCATTTCAAAAAATAATTTGGAATGTGTGAAACAGCATTTTCCTTTAACATGTTTTTCTTTTTTAATAAAATATAACAACGACGAATACATTCGCTAGTTTGTTTACGGTATTCTTTGGAATTTTAATGTTCGGGATTTGCTGTATAAATGTATATTTGTATATGTTACCATGGAAGTACCTACATTCGTTTTTGAAGGACTATTTCGTTGGAATAGTTACTTCCTTTGCATACCAACCACATACGTATACTTTTATATATGTATACGGTTTAACCTCGATACTTTGTTACTTTTGTGTTTGTTTGAAGAATAAAAAGACACTTGCCACTTCGAATATCGATAACCGTATTTTACGAGAAATCCTTGTTGGGTGCAGAAATTGTCAACCTGTTGAATATACGAGGGTGGATTGATAAGTTTCCGGCCTAACCAAGAGATGACGCCACTAGGCCTACCTTGAGGTGACATTCTATAGTACCATCCTTGGATAGCTTGTAGCTATAGTTTCAGCCCGATCTCCT